TCATAACTGGATCAATGAGCAGCATCACGATAAATGGAGAAAAGATTGAGGTTGTCAAAGAATTCACGTTGCTTGGTTCTACAATCGAGGCTAATGGCAGCAGCAGTCAGGACATTAGATGACGTGTAGCACTGGGTAGGTCAGCTGCGAAGGAACTCTTTCAAGTGCTGAGGAGCAAGGATGTCTCCTTGAGGACTAAGGTGCTTCTGACACAGGCCATGATATTTCCAATTGCCTCCTATGCATGTGAGAGCTGGACAATGAATAAGGAAGACCGAATAAGATTTGATGCTTTGGAGTTGTGGTGATGGCGAAGAATGCTGAAGGTACCATGGACTGCCAAAAGAACTAACAGATCTTTCCAGGAAGAAGTGCAGCTGAGATCCTCCTTGGAAGCGAGGATGGCCAGACTTCATCTCACTTACTTTGGTCATGTTGTCAGAGGGGACTATACACTGGAGAAGGATGTCATGCTTGGTAAGGTGGAGGGTTGAGGAAGGAGGGGAAGGCCCTCAACGAGATGGATTGACACAGTGGCTGTGGTGATGGGCTCAAGTATAGCAAGGATCCCGGAGCTGGCGCGGTACCGGGTGGTGTTTCATTCTGCTGTGCATAGGGTCGCTATGAGTTGGAGACAACTCTATAGCACCTAACAACAACAACCACAAGAACCCTGGAGGAATGAAATAAGTGCCAGATGGAAGTGTACATACAGCTGATCATAGGATTGCTGGGAGATCCATGGGGGCCTCAAAAGTAGACTCATTTGGAAATAATTCTAAAGAGTTATTTGCCAGTAACTCAACCTAGATGACCCTGAGGCTAGAACTAGATGGTGCCTGGCTATCACTGCCAACCACTCGGAAATGGATCAAAATTGGAGAACCCAGATTCAGTGGTAGAAAAAATGTGGAACAAATCTCAAAATCATTAAAAAGACCAAGCTCATTGGTCTGATACTGATACCTCCAAGACTATGGCTCCTACTCACCCTTCAGGCCTGGAAATGAACTCACTCTCGTGGTTTAACTTTCAGGCAAAAAATGGACAGGCATATAAGGTGAACATTTACACCAGGTAGGTACACTCCTTAGAACAATCAATCATAGGAGTTCAGAAGGGCAGCATTTGTGCAGGGAGAAAGCTCATAGGGCAGAAATTTATAGGAAAGAAGGACACAGGGAAAAGGTAACCAGAGGGAGGAAGTGAGGAGAAAGCTGTTAAATTGTGGGGATCACAATCAGCGTCACTAAACAAAATGTATATGAACTGTTGAGTGGAAACGAATTTGCTTTGTAAACTTTCACCCAAATAACAATAAAAAGTTATTTTGCCAATGATATTTATCATAAGATATAGTGATAGGTTAAAAGAAACTTATGTTTATCTTATAATTTATAACTTGTGTCTCAGTATCAGTGCACTATGAATTAGTATTTTTCTACATCTTAGAAGGAAGTATAGCATATATGATGGTTAAGTGTATAGACTATTTTCTTGTGCTTCAGTGAAGTAAACTTTCATGGCAAATTGGTTGTCCATTCAACAATTTATACACATCTTGGTTCATGACATTAATTGGAATCACTACCATGTAAAAGCACTCTTCCCACTCTCTCCCTGTGTTTACTGTTTCCATTAGCTGGTCTTTCCTATCCCTTCCTTCCTTCTGAACTTTATCCCTGAGCAAATGTTTCCTTTGATCTTGTATGGTTGGTTGTTCTAAGGATCAGAACATCCCTGGTGTATTTGTTCATCGTATAGACTTATCTGTTGTTTGGCTGAAAGTTGAGCCACTGGGGTGAGTTCAGTTCCCGGCTTGAAGGGGTGTCTAAGTGCCATAGTCTCAGGTGTTCCACTAGGCTCTATCAGACCAGTAAGCCTGGTCTTTTTAATGATATTGAGTTCTGTTCCACATTTTCCTCCCACTCTATCCAGGATCTCCTATTTTGATCCCTTTCAAAGCGGTTGTCTAAGTGTATAAACTCTTGATGTGGGCTGCCTAGGTCTAAATTTACCACTTACAAGCTAGGACCCTGAACAAATCACTAAGCTTATTTTGTGCATCAGTTACCTCATCTGTAAAATGAGGAAAACAGTACCTACTTCCGAGTTTTATAAGCATTAAATTAGTTAATACAGGAAAGCTTTGTTTCTATTAACATCAATTCCGTCCTGACTAGAGCAATTATATTGCATTTTTTTTATTCAAAAAGAGTGGTGAAAAGGTGACTTGGGCCTTTCCAGACTTTTGAGAAGTCTCGATTATTAGTAAGGTCACAGTAGCAGTGCAAACGAAGAAAGAATTTCATTTGGGGAGTCGTGAAAGCTGGGAAGTTTTCCAAAAGAAAGTGACATTTGCATTAATCCTGGTAGGGCGGCTGGGAATTTCCTGGGGTGGGAGAGTGGTGCTTTTCCCAAGGCTGTTGTGAGCTTCTCTTTCCGAATTGGCAGTCATTTTGCCTTGTGCTGAAGCTGCTCTAGAAGCAGCTCCGACGAACAAAGCGGCGGAGGCAACGGCCTTGGGCCTAGCATACTCTTTCCTCGTCTGTGCCGCAGCCCCACCCTACTGTTTTCCACTCCACCTACAAGCCAGGACACTCCACCTCCCCACTCCTCTAGTCACGAAGGTTCCCTGCAGGTCGGTGCGTGGCGGACGTGACAAGTCGAAGCAGCACGTCTCACCAACCACGCCAGACAGACAACGCCTTGGAGCAATGGCAGGACTCCGACCGCTTTGAGCCCAGTCCAATGGCAGCTGCTCTTCTCCCTACGCAGGGCGTTTCCGGCCAGGATAGGGCGGGGTAGGAGGAGGAGCGTCGAGAGGCCTCGCTGTCCCGCCCTGAGCCCTGCGCAAGTCCTACCACACGCGCTTTGAGCACGCTTCTGCTGGCAGCGTTGCCCTTCGCTGCAGCTTTCTGAACCCAGAGCCACTCTTCTCCGCTGAGTTGCCAAGATGTCGCTTTCAAATAAGCTTACTCTGGACAAACTGGACGTGAAAGGGAAACGGGTGATCATGAGGTAATTCTGCATCGTTGGCTGAGCTTTCTCTGGGTGGGGTAGAGTTGGCTGCCTGTCTGCCCAAAGTTGCTTTAGCCCTTGCCTCCATCCCAGGGGTCATAGATAGGCAGGGTGCCTCTGTTGTGGCTGAGGCTAGGTCAGGGTTTGACTGTTTCTCACGGCATTTCCACCAGCCCAGAAAACGAGTCATAGTCCTTTTGAGGTGGTTCACACTGAGGAAGGGCTCAGATTGTCGGGACCCCTTTTGCCATCTTTTCTATTCCTGAAAATGCAGTTCCGTCACCTCCAGTTCCCAGTTGGAGAGGTGGGACCTAAATCTTATCTCACAAATCCCTAGGCCCGAGGAAGGGACCTTGAGAGGTCATTTGGTTAATTTCCCTTCCCCCACAGCCTTAGACCATCTCTGAAGAATGGGAAACAGCCCACATTTCATAGATTCCTTCTCAATAGGAAATCTTGCCCAGAGGATAACCAAAATAAATAAATAAATAAATAAAACCTCACTGCCGTTGAGTCGATTTTGACTCATAGCAATCCTTCCTTCGGTTTCTGAGACAGTATCTCTACGGAAGTAGATTGCCCAATCTTCCTTCCGAGGCGTGGCTGGTGGGTTTGAACCGCCAGCCTCTGGTTAGCAGTCAAATACCTTAGGCACTACGCCACCAGAGCCCCAGAGAATAGGATATTGATTTAAATGTGATTGAAACCCCCAAAGAGTTAGAGGCGCCTTCGTGGCGCAGTGGCTAAAGCACT